AGTTCATCAAGCCCTGTTGTATGCTTTGCTTGATTATACCAACAACCATGGCTATGCTCCTCCATCCAGCACAATCCAGACTTGCAACTGGAACAAAGGCAGACAGAAAAAAAGAAATCCAAAACGTGTAACTGAAGCTAACTACCCATCCAAAGCAAAGAGAAATGTTAGTGATGTTTCAAATTTTGACCCTCGCCCACCATCAATGCAGAATTCTAGACTAAACTCTCAGGACATTAACAAATTTGTAACATTACTGCAATCTGCAAACCAAAAGACACAGTCAGTTTCCATGTGGCAGACTCTATTATTTATTACATATGAGAACTATGAACTTGATGATACACGTATGGACATATTAAGGAAAAAGAGGACACAGATACTGGAAAACTTGTCAGTACCATCTCATCAGCCATACATGTTGGTAAAGCAGCAAGGTACTGATGAATGGTTCTCCCAGAGATTGTTGCGTATTACTGCGTCAAATTGCAGAGAGATTTACATGGCCAATTCTGATAAAAGAATAATGGATGTCCTCAGAAGAAAGCTATGGGAAAAATCCCCAACAACATTTGCCATGCAGTATGGAATTGGAAATGAAGATCAGGCCAGAACAGACTTCATCAAGCTGATGGAAGATACTGAATCAAATATGAAAGTCATACCGACTGGTATGTGGGTAAATCCACTTTTTCCAGAACTTGGATGTGATCCAGATGGATTAATATATCAGCCATCTCAACCTAGCAATAAATATGGTGTACTGGAAATAAAATGTCCAAAGGTGCTGGAAGATATTGACCCCAATAAAGCAAAGTCAAAGCTCTCTAAAGAAAAGTGGTCGTCATTATGCTTAAGAGAACATGATGATGGGGTGCTATCCCTGAAAACCTCGCACCAGTACTACTTTCAAATACAGATGCAGATGGGTGTGACTGGATTGTCTTTCGCTTACTTTGTTGTATGGTCTAAGAGGGGCATTTTCTATCAGCGAGTGACTTTTGATCATGAGCTATGGGGGAAACTAAAGCCCAGGTTACTACAATTTCATCACAGTTTCATCTGTCCAGAATATTTTGAAATGAGAATTCCACGAGACCTGGAACCAGTACATTTAGAGTAAACTTTATGTATGGACTGAATCTGTAGATTCTGGATTGATTGTTCGTTGCGGCAATGAAATTTGTTGTTTCTGAAAGGTCTGGACTAATTTTTATAAATATTTACAAGATTCAATGTTTTCACCATTTTTTATTTACAGTTTTATTATAAATATTTAAAAAAAAAATTATTTACAGTATTTGATAATTAAGGGATGGGTCAATTAAATTTGAATGAGTTGGGAGTATTTATTATGGCAAGGACAGTTTTGCAATATTGCTCAGCTATTACTGCTAAATTATTTTGTTGTAAATATGCAACATTACATTTACATTGCACCAACAGTAAAAACAACAAATACTTCAATTCAATATTGTGTCATTTTTTATTTACTAATTCTGTCATGACAAAGAAAACTTATTTATTCACTGAAAATAAAGGTACTGATAAATAAAATGCATTTCCCTTGACCTTTGTAGTGTTTTCATAAACACACGACAGATGCAAGTTTACACGCAAATAATCTTGATCACAAAATCATATCCATTCCTAATTTTTGTTTATTTCTTGGTAGTTTACAGATCATACAAAGTGAATTTCAAATCTAAAAAAAAATTGGGGGGTAGCCACACTCGTTTCCATGGAAGGTAAATTAGCTAACCAGTGGCTCTTGAAAATTCACAAGACAGCCAACAACAAAAAACATTTGAGAAACTACTGGAGCAAGCGACAATGGAATTGTCTTCTGAAATAATCTGTATTTCTTCAATCTCTCAATTGCCCTCTCTACATGAATTCTGACTTTGGCAATCTGTTTTGTTTCTGCCTCCTCCTGCACAGTAAACCTGTCACGCCCATGAAGAAAAGGAGGTATATTCAAGTCAGCCTTCTTATCAAACAGTACATCCCTAATTGTAAAGCCACGGTCAGCTAGAATAAGATCACCTGGTTCTAATTTGTCTAAAAACCCTGACTCAATTACTATGTTTCTATCTGACGCAGCACCTTCAAATAAATCTGACAGGTAAGTGACTGCCCCATTTGGAGCTATCCCAACTATCCCAACTTTAAACGTTGGGTGAGATTTATAAGTACTATACAAATTGCCTTGTTGCTGAAAGTTGGTTGCTGTTTGGACAAAAATCTCTGTACAATCTATGATTGACCTGACATTTTTATACTTTTTGAAACACTTTGGCAAAGACTTCTTCAAAATATCTCGTGAAGGGAACATAGAATCTTTCAGTGTGCAGAATTGAAGAAACATGCACTGTACCCAAGTTATCACAGTACTAGAGACTTTGCCTTTACTAATTCCAAAACGATAAGCCAAATCTGAATGTAGCAATCCTAAACGAAGTCTAACTAAGGTTAAAAACAACTCGTTCATTGGTTCTAATTTCCGTTTTGGACCAGGTCGTTTTGACGGTGATTCCTCATTATGTTTCATTGGTCTGCTCCATAAAGACAATTTGTTTGTTGCTCGACCCAAAAAATCCCACAAACAAAGTAACTGCAACCAAGTAAGCCCAGTATAAAATTTACATTTCACATCATCATCACTGACATCTTCTACAGAGAAATGTTTCTTTTTACTGGAATTGTTTTTCTTACTTTTCAAGTCCATAAGTTCATTTTTTAAGCACAGATTCTCAATTTTGAGAGCAACAATATCAGCATCTTGACTGCGATCTGTCTGTGTTGATGCATCATTCATTTCTGGTATTGATTGAATGCCTATTGAGTTAGTTGGAACAGAATGCTGCCATCGCACGTCACAAGCTATAATAAATACATAAATGAAATGAATTATTTTATGAAAATTTTCTGTTTAAAATGTATTATAATAGAAAAATAATTTACAAATCAGGAACATATTATTGAAACTCTTGCTCGAAAAAACATCAACTATTATCACTAATTATGGGAAACAAAATATCAGACATTCTAGGGGCATAATTAATTTGTGTAAGGGTAATGGGGAGATAGCTGGGAGATTAACTAAACATGCCATTAACTCAATACTGTGATAAAATATGTCTGATCATTTATTTAATTAAATATGAAAAACATATTTCATTCAAAAAATCTCAGATTTTAATTTCCACATCTTAATTTTCAGTATTCTGACCCCATCAATTTTTCTTTGTACAACAAACAAAATATTGTTTGCCAAGTAAACTTTTAATTGATGACATAAAAATACCTACATGCTGAAGTATCCGAAAACACAATCTCATTTTGAGCAAGATCAAGAAGTGTATCAGCCATCTCGTTGTCAATTCCATCTTCAACAACAGTCTTTCTTTTCCGTGGTGGTGCAGCCTGACGATCCGTGGG